AACTCAAGTCAACCCTGGACTCAGTGGCTCCACTTTTAACCAAAACAATTAGAACAAAACCTACACCCCCGTGGAGAAATCAGGAAATCAAACAACTGAAAAGATACTGCAGGAGTGCTGAGAGGAGATTGAGAAAATCAAACTAACAGTCCACTACTAAATACAACATCTCAAAACCTACAATAACGCAGTCAAACAGGCAAGAATTTCCCATTTCAAAAACCTAATCTCTGACAATAAAAACAATCCCAAATTCCTCTTCTCCACAATTGATATTTTAACAAACAGTAATTTTAACAGATCGCCTAAGACAACAACCAATGCCATTTGTAAGGACTTTGCAGACCACTTCAGAAGTAAAATCAATGACATCAGATCCAGTCTTTTATCTCAACAGATTTTAACTGTCGACACACCTGGATCATTGCTTTCACCTGAGGAAACACTGGAGAGTTTTGCCCTGGTTGATGCGAGGACACTTGGTCGAGTTTTCTCCCAAGTAAAGCCCACAACCTGCCTTTTAGTCCCAATTCCCACACCGTTTTTAAAACATTTTATGGATTCTTTGAGGAACAGCTACTGTACATGGTGAATTGCTCTCTTCAGAAGGGTGTCTTCCCGACCGGTGATGAAGCCCCTTCCGAAGAAGAGCAATTTAGATCCCAACATTTTTAATAATTATCGGCCTGTATCCAACGGAACGTTTTTCAGCAGAATTTTAGAAAAACTGTTTTTTACCCAAGTAAATGATTTTTTAAATACAAATAACACTTTAGAAAAGTATCAGTCTGGTTTTAGGATGAACCACAGTACCAAGACAACCCTTTTAAAGATTTTTAACGACATCAGGTGCAATTTAGGTAACCATAAACTCACAGTCTTGGTTTTATTGGATCTAACCGCCGCCTTCGATACAGTAGACCATCACACTTTATTAAATAGACTGAGGCACCTGGTCGGCCTCTCTGGTACTGTTTTTAACTGGTTCGTCTCTTACCTTACTGATCGACACTTCTTTGTAAGTATGGATACTTGTTCCTCAGGAACCCATGAGATAAAGTGTGGGGTCCCCCAGGGGTCAATTTTAGGTCCAACTCTTTTTAATCTCTACATGCTTCCCCTGGGGGACGGCATCAGCTTTCATAGTTATGCTGATGATATGCAACTGTACATCGCCGTGTCTCCTGATAATGCAGGGTCAAAGTCATGGATGGCAGCAAATTTCCTGCAGCTCAACCAGGACAAAACAGAGGTTTTAGTCATTGGTCCTGAAGGCCAGAGAGAGAAACTTTTTCCAAAACTACAGGAACACAATCTGTAAAAAATCTGGGTGTGATTTTTGACTCTGAGCTCTATTTTATTCTACATATTGAAAACATAACAAAGGTAGGTTTCCACCATAAGAATATAGCCAGAGTCCGCCCATTTCTCTCTCAGGTCAGCACGGAGGTGCTGATGCATGCTTCTATCTCGTGCAGGTTGGATTATTGTAATGCCCTGCTCTCTGGTCTTCCCAAAAAGATTATCTCAAATCTACAATTATTACAGAATTCAGCTGCATGAGTGCTGACAAGGACCAGAGGGCGGGAGCACATTACACCAGTTTTAAAATCGCTGCATTTGCTCCCTGGGCGCTTCAGGATCAATTTTAAGGTTCTTATATTAGTTTTTAGATGTCTTAACGGTCTTGGGCCTTCTTATTTATCTGACCTGCTTTTACCATATCAACCCTCACGGACCTTGAGGTCCTCCGGCACAGGCCTTTTAACCATACCACAAATTAGGACTAAAACACACGGGGAGACGGCATATAGTTATTATGGCCCCCGATTGTGGAACAGCCTGTCGGAGAACCTCAGGGCTGCAGAGACTGTTGATGTTTTTAAAAAGAGGCTCAAGACTCATCATTTTAATCAGGCTTTTAACTGATCTCTTTATTTATCTATTTTAAATTCCTTTTATCAGGCTTTTAACAGATTTATCTATTTGTTTTTTTTTTTGTTTTTTAAATGCTCTTACCCTTCCTCTTTCTCCTCTATCTCATTTAATCTTTATCTTTTGTTATTTTAGTTACAGGTTTTAGTTTTGATGCATTTTATGTCTCTGTTTAAGATCATTCTTACCTAGCTATTAACTTAATTTTATGAGCTAAATAGCTTGTTGTTTTTGGTTCATTTTATACCTTTTATCCTATCCTACTGTTTTAGTCCCTCAGTTTTTAGCTCCAGTGTTTCCTCATGGGGGCCTACCACACTGAGAGTTGTTGCTGGTCTACCGATGGGGGTGCTGTCCCGTGGACAGCTCTGACCTGGGTGGCTGAAGGGCACTGCACCTCGGTGTGGAGCCTCCTGTCTGCATACAGCCGTTTAGCTTCCCTCACTGCCTTGCTAAACCTGTACTTTGATTCTTTAAACCTCTCCTTGTCCCCACTCCTGAATGCCTCTTCCTCCAGCTGCCTCAAATGTCTGAGTTTAGGACTAAACCAGGGTTTGTCATTGTTATACCTCACCGTGGTGCGTGATGCAGTCCTCACAGAAGCTGATGTATGATGTCACAGCCTCTGTGTATTCATCCAGACTATTGGTGGCCATCCTGAAAACATCCCAGTCAGTAGTGTCCAAACACGCCTGAAGATCCTCCACAGCATCACTGCTCCACTTCTTAGATGACCTCACAACAGGTTTACAGAGCTTTAACTTCTGCCTGTAGGAGGGAATCAGTTGGACAGTGGTGTGGTCAGAGTGGCCCAGTGCAGCGCGGGAGATGGCGTGATAGGCGTTGTTGACGGTTGTGTAACAGTGATCCAGGATATTCTTTTCTCTGATCGGACAGTTTATGAAGTGTTTGTATTTGGGGAGTTCATGGGTGAGGTTACCTTTGTTAGAGTCGCCAAGGACAATAACTAAGGAGTCTGGGTAAGTCCGCTCCACAGCGAGCGTGCGCTGTGCCTCCTGCACGTTGGCCTGCGGTGGGATGTAAACACTGACCAGAATGAATGAAGCAAACTCACGAGGGGAGTAAAAAGGTTTGCAGTTGATGAAGAAAGATTCCAGATCAGGAGAACAGTGCTGGTGGATCACTATCACGTCATTATACCAGCCACTATTAGTGTAAAAACAGATACCTCCACCTTTAGTTTTGCCGGAAAGTCCTGTGTTACGATCCGCTCTGAAGAGTTGGAAGCCAGCTGTAGCTCAGAGTCCGGTATCAATCCACAGAGCCACGTCTCCGTGAAGCACAAAACTGCAGATGTAGAAGCAAAAAACAGGGTTTACAAACAAAACAAGGCAAAACATGGCACACCAAAACACAGAGGCAGCCTTCCGTGGCGTCATCTTGATGTTTGACAGATGACATAGCAGTGCAGCAAGTCATATGGTAGTGATGTCATTAAAGTCGTATAGAACCAAGGATTTCTAATTTTGTAGCTTCAGCTCCTCCATCCTCAAGCGAGTAAGGAGACATGTTAGCATGATAAAATGCACCTTAACTCTGGACATTCCATCCAACACACAATCATGCAATAATCTGACAAGTGCATTTTTACTTCATTCATTCAGTCATCTTCTAACCGCTTCATCCTCTTGAGGGTCGCGGGGGGGCTGGGGCCTATCCCAGCTGACACTGGGCGAGAGGCAGGGTAAACCCTGGACAGGTCGCCAGACTATTGCAGGGCTGACACATAGAGACAAACAACCATTCGCGCTCACATTCACACCTACGGACAATTTAGAGTTATCAATTAACCTAATCCCCAATCTGCATGTCTTTGGACTGTGGGAGGAAGCTGGAGTGCCCGGAGAGAACCCACGCTGACACGGGGAGAACATGCAAACTCCGCACAGAGAACATGCAAACTCCGCACAGAAGGGCTCCCACATCCGGGATCGAACCGGCAACCCTCTTGCTATGAGGCGACAGTGCTAACCACCATACCACCGTGCCGCCCCATTTTTACTTCAAAGAAGGCTAAATGTTTTAAAAAGTTATAATGGGACTGAAAGTTGAATTGCAGCCATAATGCATGTAAGATGCGGAACATTTTAAAGTTTAAATGGTGCTTCTACGTAAATGTATGAATGAGAGGTTAAAAGTTGAAAATGCATGAATTTGTGTCAAATAAAAAATAAATTGTTTATTCATTTAAATGAATAAAATATCCTGTAAAATATTAAATATTTCTGAAGATATGAAAAGTATAAATGTTAAAAATTAGTAATGTCCTGATTGAGGTGAGCTTTTTGATGTTTAAATAAAGTTTCTACATTGAAATATGTGGAAGCAATGGAATAGCCTCCAGCATTCACACCCAAATATTAAAGATTTTACATTTATTGGCACTATAATCTCTGCTAACTTTAAATGGAAAAGCAATGTTTGCAAACTCTTAAAGCTGCTTCATCAGAGATCATACTTTGAATTTCAACAAAAAATATGATCTCTAATTAGCTAACTAAAAATGTTAGGAAATTCAGCTGTAGAGGGCATGGTTACTTTCTTGATCACAGTTTGTTTTGCCTTGTTTTCTAGTAATTATTTGTGGTATTTTGCAAATTTTAATATGTTTAGGTGACTAGACTTGAATTGTTAACCTCTGGCTTTTGTTTTTGGCTTGTCCTTTAGATTTATGGTATTTTCTCTATGTTTGATGTAGATATTATTATGCTGTGTTGAATGTTTGAGCTCACTATTGCAAGTTCCTTACAAACTTTGTTGTACAGTAATGGCAGTAGAGTTAACTCAACTCTAACGCTGCTGGTACATTAGGATGGTGACACTAGTATGGCATTTGGTAGCTATGTGAAATGAGAGATAGGTGGTTCCATCCCTGTGAACCGCCATAAGTGTGCATGAAGTGGTTTAAATTACGTAAAAATACTTTCCTCTGTTGATCAAAACTATCTGAATATCTTGATGCAAAAGTTGCCAAAAATTTAAAACAAATGAAGTCAAAATTTTCTTGTGACTTAAAAGTATACATTCGTTGTATTTTTTTTTAGCATCACCCCATGTCTAAGCTGATAACAAGCACTCAAGATTGCAATTACCAGTTTGATAACAAGGGAAAGCACATTACTGCAGCCCTGTGCACAGAAAAACACATCTACCTGCCATTTTCCCACAAGTAAGTCATCTTCTGAGTTGAGATTAATGTGTGTATATAATGCACTGTTATATATTTTGCATCACCTACTCATCTGCCTGGCAGGGACAACCAAATATCATCCGTGGTAACCCAGGATCTCAGCTTTCGAAGCTTCAAAAGGATAAACAACAAAGTATTTGGTAAGTGATCATTTCAAGCATGTCTGCTATGACTGACATGTATAGTATTGGTTCACGTCTCTTATTGGGAAATGTAATGTTAATGCTAAATATATATCTACACAGAAGTGAACCCCAGCCAGAGCAAGCCCCTCCACTTTGAAGACCCTGAAGATAAAGCTGTAGTCCAGATGAAAGATGCCGTTCTGAGTACCCTACAGGATCTGTCAGCTTTGGCTGGCACAGACCAGGGTCAGAAGAGAACCAGCCTTTTTCATAAGCTTGTGTCCAGCCTCCGCGTCCTGAAGAATGACACCCTGAGCCAGTTGGTCACCGAAATGATGGATGTGTCAGGCTGGCTCACCTGGCAGGCTCTGTTCCAGTGTGGAACCACAGAGTGCACCAGTGCCATTCTCAAGGCTATCAGGACCATTGATGGGTTGTCAGTAGAGGTGGATGCTCTAGTTTATGGGCTGAGTCTACAAGCAAACCCTGATGCCTTACGTGTGCGAGATATGCTCAGCATGGCTCAGTATAAACAGAGCAGAGCAATCATGTATGCTCTAGCCAACACAGTCAAGAAGTAAATAAAAAGTTACTTACTTATGTCTTACATA